CATTAGAATGTATCCAACATGTTTTATAAAAGTTCAAGAAGTTATTTAACATGTTTTGGATTGTTCAAGGACTTATTTGTTCCAAAAATAGTCCAAGGACTTATTWAAMWWTTTTTRGAATGTTTAAGGACTTATTTAATATATTTTGGAATGTCCAAGGACTTATTTGTGCCAAAAAATTGCCCAAGGACTTATTTAACATGTTTTGAAAAGTTCAAGGACTTATTTGTTCCAAAAAAAAGTTCAAGGACTTAATCATTCCAAACAAGAAAGTTCATTGGTTTTTATTGTATTTTTCCCAATAAATTATATGTTTGTCCCCTATTACTTTTGATAGAAAATATAAAAAGAAATAGAATCACTAAAATACCCCTGTACTAAACCTATCTAACAGAAAAAATACTAACGGAGTTAAAAATAGAGACCCAATGTATTATAAAATACAAAATCATAAAAATACAAGTCATAAATATTTTAAAATAGTAACTTAAAATGTTAAACACATAAACCAAAGGGACCAAAAATATAATTTACTCAATAAATAATTTAATTCATGTGGCCCCAAATCAATTAACGATTAACAAATTAAATGCTTAATCGATAAATATTAAAAAGGGAAATTGCATTAAACTAGGAATTTGGTGAAAGTTGGTTTTATTTAAATGTAATTTTTTCGAATAATGTTAGTTTTCTTTATTTATTACATTAAAAAGCATTAAAATTATGTTTTCTTTATTTATTACATTAAAAAGCATTAAAATTATGTTTTCTTTATTTATTACACGTTATATCATTATTAATTATTCGCAATTAGTTATAAAACCATCACATACTACTAGAAAAACTGCTCTCATAGATGGATTAATAAAAGACCTCATCGTTATCGTCTTGGAATCCATGTACGAGGTCCCCCAAATCAGGAAGAAGGATAATCCCGCATTTTGAGGTATTTTCTTAGAATCTTCGTTTTCACAGACTATCTTTATCTGTTTTTTACAGTTATTATTTTTGCTTTATCTCTCATTTCATAAAGTTTTGATTTTCTATTTTTCTTTTTGCTTTGCGGGTTTTATATAATATGAATTTGGCCGTGATTCGCAAGTAATACCCGATATGAAAAACATCAATTTTTTGACTTCCAATCTCTTATTGTAATCATGTCGGAGATGTTTCTCTTTCTCTTAAACTAGATGGGTTGTTATAGAAATTGATTGAACGTTTTTTCCAATGTTAGTTTTCTCATGTTATTACTTGCTTTTGTTGGTCTGTGAGATCTTTATTTCCGGCAGATATAGCCACCGGAAATCTTGGCGCCGGTGATTAATTTCCCAGCGGATTCTCCATCTTATTAATTACTAACCACAAGGGTGGTGCCTAATTGGTTTGAGCTTGGCTCCAAAGGTCAATAGTACCAGGAGGTCTCATGTTCAAATCCAATGAGGAATAAAAATTTCCTTGTGGCCACGGAGGTTCAAATGCGATGACTCCAGACTATCTGCAAAGTAGGTGGTCGACATGGAATTAGTCGACTCGCACAACGGGTTGGATATCCAGTTAATAAAAAAAATTAATTTTATGTCAATGAATAGGTATTAGAGAGGGGAAGAAGCACACCAGTCGACCAAGGCCACGTACACAACAAAAATTTCAAGTGTTTTGACGTTTTTTGGCATGCATATGATCGAATAATTAGATCACACCCTCTATTTATTTTTTATTATTTTATTATAAATAGTTATTATTAGTTTATTGCATTTTATATGTAAAATTTTAAATAATTAAAAACAAATAAAGTAATATGTATTACTAGTTATATACAAATTCCAATTCATTCAATATATTTCATTCTAATTCTGCCAACCAAACAGGTTGTCAAAACCTGACAACATTCCATTACAATTTCTGTAAAGTTAGATTCATCTGACAGCTTCCATTTCATTAAAAACATCACGTGAATCAAACGTCATCTAAGATAACAACCCATCAATTACAACAAATTTCAGAGTATAATAATCCATTTTTTTTTAAACTTCACAATAAGACAGTAAAAATTTTACGAGAGGAACAAAGTAACGACCAGTACCATACCGGAATGCATAAGTGTGGGTCCCACCTAAAAGATTTGAGTATATTTTGGATATTATGTGCGTGGCTCTCCATCCTCCAACAACGCAATTTCCAAACCCTAGTTTGGCAACATCCCACAAGACACAAGCTAGTGTTTTCGAGTATAGAATTATCCAAATATGCAGATTATAAAGTTAGGGACCGTTTATCGAACGTTTATTCAGTAAATATTTAACAACAAGAGTCATCACTCTTTTTAGTTGTCTTATCGAGTAATATTTTCAGTCATTAAAATGTATGAATTGTTTGTAAGCGTCTTTAATTGTCGATAAATTTTAACCGGGTAAAAGTCTTCTTCTTCACTTACCAGGTTAGAATCTTGGTTGTTGCTATGTCACATTGACCCGATATAAACGTCTGGTAATTAAATGATCATTTTGTTATTTTATTTGTTGGTTATTTAGTGTAAATGTGTAAATTATAATGCTAGTTATTTAATTTAATTTTGTTATATTGACGAAAAAAATTGGATGATTACTTTTCATAGTTCACGTGCTTTTAAAAGCCGTGACTTATGTCGTTAGTGGGAATGTAGGGCAGACGGGAACAGTAAAGAAACAATGGTCGATGTCTTAGGGCTCATTTACCAAACACTTACTCGGTAAGTGCTTATCGGCAAAATTAAAACCACCATTTACTTACCGAGTAAAATTTTAGTCCATCAAAACGACATCGTATGCAACAATTTACCCAGTAAGCACTTACCGGATAAGACTCTTGGTCCTTGTATCGCTCTTACCGGGTAAGATTCTTGGTCCTTACCATATTCATCCGTTAATGTAATGTGATTTGATAAGCACTTACCCGGGTAAACATTTAGGGGCCGTTTACTGAACACTTACTTGGTAAGTGTTTACCGGATAAATTTCCTTATCGAATGAACATGAGAAGGGTCAAAAATCTTACCGGATAAGAGCGATGAGAATGATGGAGAGTCTTACCCGGTAAGTGAGGATGACGACTCTTACCCAGGTAAGCACTTACCTAATAAATTGTTGCATTCGATATGTTTTGATATACTAAAATATTGCACATCAAAATAAATCATAGTGTTGACTCCTATCGGTAAGCGTTTACCGGGTAAGCAATTGGATAAACGATATTTTATAACAGAATGAAATTTTATTATATGTTTACATCGATCCAACCCACAAAACAAATCAAACAGGTGAATTAAAGCAAGCACGTATGAGCTTGAGCTTGCTTTATTCGAACACCATGCATGCATGTTCACAAACAGATTCAAATACAAACAACATCCATATGATCTTGACTTTTACTTTGACCATCTTATAAGTTAAGTACTTGGAGGCACAATTGTTATGCTTTTTGTGTTCTTCGATTTGAAAACTTCTTCAAATTCTTCACTGACATTTAAGGTAGACCGTAAAACCACTGGTGACAAAGCATTCCAAACTGAATTACTTCCAGCCAATTCTCCAAATATGGGGCTGCCAACAATAAAAAAAGGGTACATATTTAGACAACAATATTCAATGGAAAACAAATTATAGTGTTGACTTCTAACGTAAAGCACTTACCACGTAAGCATTTAGGTAAACGACCCCTTAGTGTTTAAAGTAACTCATTTTTGCAAGACCAAACGAGCCCAATATGAAAAGATCGGATCTTTTTCTTGTGTAAAATGTTAAAATTTCGCAAAAACGTTGAATCTTTAATGTCGAAAGTTAAGTTTTTGTTGTAGATTGCAGAGGGAAGATTGTATGAAACTCACTTTGAAGATGTAATGATGGAGAAAACTTCCATTCCACATTCATCTGCAATCTCAGCAGTTGCAAAGTATTGAGGGACAATGAACAAATCGCCTTCTTCAACCCTATTGTCCAATGCAGGCTTTCCTTCACTGCCCACCACCCTAATCCAACCACTTCCCTTACCCACATATCTAATCTGGATCGATCCATTCGTCACATAACTCGGTGCCAACATCGCATTGCCCTCCAACCTCACAAACTTTGCACTTAGACCGATCTCACCAAGAGTCGGAAAGTTCTTTTCCGTTAAGGAATTGATAAGTCCACCGCGTTTTAGGATAATGTGATCACCCGATGGATCATCAATGGTGGCAGACAGTTTCTCTTTGATGTGTTCATTTGGTTCTGGAAATTTGGTTCCGTTTTCCAGCTTAACAAGCAATGCACCATGTTGGCTGTTTATAAGAGTGTCTGATTGCTTTTGGTCGAGATCGAAGGTTTTGCCAACGAACTCAGATTGAAATCCGGCTAGAAACCCTAGAACTCCGGCCCCGAAAAAGTAGGTGAATTGGCCAGGGACTAAGGCTTTGGTGGTTTCACCCATGAATACCATGACCGCATCGGTATGACCACCATTGAAACACCATGACACCACCCCTGATGGCAGTGGAATCACATCGCCTTTCTTGATCCGCAAAACCTTTTCTTCTCGACTGTTTGGTGACACTAACCCAAATGTGCAGGTACCTATATTCATCCATAGTGAATGACTCATGTTATAAACCAAACGAGTTTCGTGTAGCTATTTGGAGATGGGGTCTGGGAATATGTGTATGTAGAATATTGATCCTTACTCCATATGAATGTTCAGATTCTAGATCTAATCCAAGGGTTGAGAATTGGTCTTACGGATTTCACGAAAAACTCTTGATCTCATATGATCTCAAGTATATATATATAGACTTGGGATCATATGAGACCAAGCATTTTTTGTGAGACCCGTAAGACCAATTCTCAACCATTGGATTAGATTTATAATCATCAGATCTGAACATTCACAAACGCCACGAAACTTCTCGATAATCACAAAATTGTCACCGTTCAATTTTAGACCATTAAATCATTAGCTTATAAAGTTGATCAATGAACGTAAATTGGTCTTACGGGTCTCACGAAAAACCTTTGGTCTCACGTGAACCCAATCCTATATATATATATATATATATATGTGTGTGTGTGTGTAGGGCAAATCAAATGAAATTACAAATCTATTACAAAGTTTGCAAACTTGCCATTCAGTTTCAAGTGTTATTTCATATATGAAAGAACACACATGAAACATGCAGAATTCATACAATATATCTTGTTATATATAGAAAGAGAGATTCCGGATCATGTGAGACAAGATTGTTTTCGTGAGACACAATTTTATACTTGAAACTTCACAGTGTTTTTGTTATGAAGATTCGGTATTCTTTTAACTTCACAACATTTTTTTGTGAAGTTTCAAGTAGAAAAATCGTTTCTTATAAAAACAATCTTGTTTCACTTGAACCCAACCCTCTCTCTCTCTCTCTCTCTCTCTCTCTCTCTCTCTCTCTCTCTCTCTATATATATATATATATATATATGTGTGTGTGTGAAACATTCATGAATGTTTTGAATGTGAATAAAAAAAACGAAAATACATTTCATATATGAAACACGACACAAACATATATCATCGTTAAATCTTATCTTATAAAACCAGTGAAACTTCAAAATCGTTAAAATTTATGGCTCCCGCCGCATTGCGCGGGTACACAACTAGTATACTTAAATGGCTCACATACACATTTTATCAGATCTATCATCTAGCATCCAATGTTAGTTAGATCATCGTCTTATTCATTTGTATTACGAAACAAAAACACTACAACAAAATTGGTTTAAATGTTTTAATTAACTGATTTAGAGAACTTAAGTATATAGGTTCAAACAACTGTGTATCGCATTCGCACGCATATATAATGGTTTAGTTTTACAAACTAACGTTCTATAAAACACTGCCATAAGAAACTTAGACATATATATTTGGCGTCTTAGAGACTTGATTTCTTTGCAGTGAAAGAAACGTATACCTTGAAGTAGAAAGCCGATTTTGGAGGAATCCGCATAGTGAGGAAGAGCAAAACCGAAAGGGCGGAGGAAAAGCTTGCCAGCACCAAGCTTATACTGACTCAACAATGGCGTTTTTGAGTTCGACCATACGTAATATTCACCAGCATCCCCCTCAAATCCGATCTGATCAGCCTTCCCAACCCCCATTTCAATCTCCATCTTATACCAAAACAAAATTAATGTCCACAAGTGACTATGAGCATGAGAGAAGGACAGACCATTTATAGATCACACGTACTGATTGGCAAGAATAAAACCGAATATTTTCATCCACCCCTTTTTTTTTATTCACGTGATCAAATAATTAGATTTCACAAACAATAAATTATGTTTTTAGTACATATAATTGATTGGAAATTACTATTTTCCTTCTTGTATTTTTGTTCTTTTTGGATATTGTTGTTTTCTTATGTGATCTCAGAAACAAAAAAAAAACAATTTATTGTAAAACTTGGAAAAAAAACAGTAATTTAAAAACCATAACAACTAAAACTATTAATTTAAAATTGAAAAAAAATGGTAAACGAATCAAACGTTCAGTGATTTAGCAAACAGCCCCTTAGCCAAACAGCCCCTTAGCCATCTTTCTCTGAAGATTTTCAAAATATCACTATTTTCATAAGTGGCACCTTCTCAACTTGCGAAGGAGCTAAAAGACAAAAAAAATCACTTTTCACTCAGGTTCGCAAGTGGCACCTTGATAACTCTCATTTTTTTAGAGTTATTTACTATTTTTTTCTAAAATTTCATACCCAATTTGCTTCTATCTTCTTCATTTTGTTTAAATTATTCTTAAAAAATGACAAAAATGCGAAAGATTTACCTAAAAAACACACAAATACTAAGAAATTACCTCATTTTTGTGGTAAAAAGAATTTACTGTTGGGCAGTGGGCATAATTTGCCTACTGTGTGTGGACACTTTCGATTCTACTTTTGGACAAAAAAGTGATTTGCTATTATCTCGTCTACATCAACAGTAAATTGAAGATTTGAAAAGATATGAAAATCTCTAAAAGATGAGTTAAATAGTGATCACTTTTATACTTAATGATCAAAAGATGTTTTCATCCGATGGGCAAACACCAAAAGTCATCACCTATAAAAAGGAGGCATGGAGGAAGTATTAAAGATTAGGGGTGCTTAAAAACCCGATCAACCCAACCCAATACGAAATAGCTCAATCTAAAGCAACCTGATGTTTATTCGAGTTGTAAACTTGTCAAACCGTAGGTATTGGGTTGATATCGGGTTACTATTATTTGAACTCAACTCAACCCTATGAACCCGATATTCTTTTATTTCTTGGATTTAATATGATTGTTGAATTTCTATTAATATGTATATTCGACAATTACACTATCATGTATGCTCTTCATATAAACATATTTTCAATCTATTTACATCTTTATATAACTCATTCATATATATGTTTAATAACTGTGAACATATATATGTAAATTGAGAAAATTAATTGAATGTGATATACGTAAGAAGTATGGATAATTAAGTTGTATCAAATGGTTGATGATGAAAAAGAAATTATGAGTAGAGAGATAACATATTCTATATTAGAAAAATATTTTAATGTACCAAAGTATCAACCCGACCAACCCGTATGGGTTGGATTGGGTTGCACATTTGGTTCGGGTTGGGCTGGGTTAAGATTTTTCAAACCGCAAGCATTGGATTGAGTTAAGATTTTTCAAACCGCAAGCATTGGGTAGGGTTGTTCAAATGTCTTCAACCCGATCAACCCAACCCATGAGCACCCCTATTAAGGGGGTGTTTGGGATTGCTTATTTTATCTGCTTATTGACTTATTTCAGTCTGACACCGGTGATAAGCTAATACCTAGTGTTTGGATAAGAAAAAAGAAAACTGCTTATACCGGTGCCAAACCGGTAATAAGCAGTTTTTGATAAGTTAATCCGTCCTGACTTATGAAAAACTGCTTATTACCAGTTTACCATTTTAACCCTATTACCCTTTATACCTATCTTTTTTCCTCCAGATAACATCGATCTCAATCTTCTCCCTTCTCCATATAACATCAATCTTCTCTCTGTCCTTTTTGGTCATTTTACAGATATAAGCAAAATTTGCCAAACACTAAAAAATAACTTATCAGCTTATTGCAGTTTGGTATCGCTGTAAGCTAATCCAAACACTATTTACAAAACTCCAGTTTGATACCACATAAGTTAATAAGCACTTTTACAAAAAAACATAAATTGTTTTAAATAAGCAATCCCAAACACCCCCTAAAGATCATTAATCAACAAGCAACAACATGAGTTTCATCTCCAGGCATTTACTCTTAAGCTTGAAGATCTTAGTAGATAATTTAATTTCCAATATTTTATTTATGTATTTTATTTTTTGTATTTAAATTATGTCCGTTGTCTGCCTTCCGTAGCCATAGTCGTTAGTTTTGCTTCAATATAAGTATTTTTCAAGTATTTCTTATCATGTTCTTCATTTCTAATATGAGTTAATATCTTTTTGGTTGTGGGTATGAGTCAAACTTAAGCTAGTAGGCAACACTTGGGTGTTGTCATCATTGCTATTTCTTAAGCTTGGTCACTTGAGTCAGGACTTAAACTCAATGCGGATAAACAATCACTCTAAAGTGTTAATATTAGATCTTAGACTCAAAGATGGGCATATCTGAAATACGGCTTAAGTGATGCACAAAGATTTGAGAGGGTTTTTTATAATCAAGAAGAGATACAGATTTTGTATGATTTACTAAGGTTCAAACTTTCGTCGAGATTTTTATCACAAAGAGATTTGGGTATAAATCTTTATACTAATCGAACTTGATTTTTATCAACTTAGTTAAATCGGCAAGATTAAGAGTTAATAATGGTGAGAACTTTGTGGGCATGATCTATGAAAATTCATTTTCGAGAGATCGAGGTTCTTATAGATATTCATGTGATACATAAAGTGTTTGACCATTTAGTTACTACGTTTGTCATAAGAAACATTTACACCCACATCCATCTTTTAATAAAAAAAATTATTTTGTCTTTTAAGCATTTCTATCAACAAGAACTTGATTTTTCCCTTCTTACAACATCAATATATATATATATATATATTGATGGAGGTTCAAACAAGAACCCCTGTGATTTACGAGAACGCGAGAACAATCTAATAACCTCAAACTTTTTTAATTAATAAATTAGCTTATATTAAATATAAATGAATTAATAAGGGCAGTAATGTAATTAAGTAATTTTTATAATTTTTATTTTATTTTAATTGATTATAGTTATCCTTTTTTTTCCTGCATGTTCGTTTCCACTCTCTTATCTTCTCTTGTGATAATTGTGTGATTATGTAACCATAACCTATCAAAACCATGATCAATCGAGTGTAACCATAACCAATTGAAACCATGAGTAATCGTTGTGATAAATGTATGATTGTCTAACCTTAACCGATCGAAACAATGATCAAATTGAGTGCGTAAGTGATGTTATAATAGTGATATCACATAATTATCACACCCATATCACACCAAATCGTTTAGTGGATTTCGCCCATAATTGTTGTGATAAATGTGTGATTGTCTAATCCTAACCTATCGAAACTATGAGTAATCGTTGTGATAAATGTGTGATTGTCTAACCCTAACCGATTGAAACCATGATTAAATCGAGTGCGCTGTTATGATAGTAATATCACATGATTATCACATCCATATCACACCAAATCGATAGTCGATTTCCTAAGTTAACCGTAGTCGAGCGGAATCCTTATGATAATTGTGTGATAATACATGATTATCACAGCTATATCACACCAAATCGGTAGTCGATTTCCTAAGTTAACCGTAGCCGAGCAGAATCCTTGTGATAATTGTGTGATAGTCACATGATTATCACACCCAAATCACACCAAATCGTGTTGAAATAAGCGATAACCATAATAACCCATTATGTTATCCAGATTATTAGGTTTAATGTAATCGTGTTTTTAAAATTTTATCACTTTGAATTCCAATATTACCCTTTTGCCTCTCAATTTTTTTTGAATTGTTTTAATTTCTTTTTTAATTTAAAAAATCTTTTAATTTTTATTGTTATCACAATATGAGGTTAGGTTCTCGTTTGAACCCTTCCCTATATATATATATATATATATATATATATATATATATATATAGGGGCTTAATCAAATAAGAATTTATTAGTTTGTGGTAACTGTGAGATTCAATCTCAACAACAAATCAACGGATAAATTAGAAAATTAATAATTATGGTAGTTTGAGTTAAAATTATAATTAGATGACATTTTAGGTATTTTTAAAAAACTCATCTCTTATCTCTCCTCTCTCATCTCTCCGACCTCCAATCTCCGACCTCTAATCTCCGGCCTCCGGTGAACAAAAATCTGGCAGGTACCAAGTAATCACAAAGATATACAATGTGATACCCATTGTGATATATTGTGAGAGGAGAGAGGAGTTTTTTAAAAATACCTAAAATGCCCTCTAATTATAATTTTAACTCAAACTATCATAATTATTAATTTTTCTAATTTATCCGTTGATTTGTGGTTGAGATTGGATCTCACAGTTAGCACAAACTAATCAATTCTCTCTTGAATGGTCCCATATATATATATATATATATATATATATATATATATATATGAGAGGAATAAAATGCAAACCAAGATATTTCTACAAACTGTGAAAACCTTCGATTTCATTTTTAATGAAAATTTTTCATGAAATTGTTTCAAATAATTCATTTCATGATGAAATACAAAGTATGAAAAAGTACCTATAACTTTCCAAGACACATTAGCATTGCGTAGTCCTCCTGTTCGAACTGGGGTTTCAAATTTGTTCCTATCTAACGGAACACTATCGGATCAAATGACAAAGGCATTAACATTGTGTATAATATCTTCAATTTCAATAGTTACATACAAGTCTCTACTTTTATAATTATATCATTTAAGGTTCTATTCTAGATTAACCAGAGTAACTGAAAACCCTCCACTTCAATTGGTATTTTTTCACGAAAATAATATTTTATTCCAAAAATCGGTTTGATTCTATCTCTGTTCCTCCTATTTAAAGAAAGGAAGGATAAATCATGGTAATTGTTTCATTAACGAAATCATGAGTTTTTTATAGACGAAAGCATGAGCTTTTTATAGACGGGATCATGAAATCAAGAGATTTTTTCATTAACGAAACTATAAAAAAAATTGTAATAGG